AAAAAACAAAAAAAAAAACAGGTGCAGACATAAAAAAAACACACTAGTGCTGGAGGAAATCGCATAAAAACTGTGTTTGCCCAACTGCTGCCTCTGTGTCGACAGAAAAATAGAGCCCAAAGTCTTTCCTGTGGAAAATCTAAACATGTGTTTTTACCTGTGATCCTGCAGCAGGTTGCATCTTCATTGGTATTTTTGTGATCTTACCAATGTGTGTACAGCATTTAAATTCAATGTTTCGATAGACTGTAACTGCAGCCTGAGCTAGCCCCATCTAGGACTCCCGTACACTGCAGTGGGGGCATAGATGCTTCCAAAAGAAAAGTTTAGGGAAGTGCCTGTACAGTGCTCTTTATCAGTAAACCATACATACATTTGCATTTCAGTTTTTTGTTGATTGTCTCAGCAAGTTCCTGTAGGGTGGGCTTTCTCTATTGACCACAAGGGGCAGCAAACGCTTACCTTTTCTAGAATGGATTTACATGCTTCAATGTAAAAAAAACAAAAAAATGTTTTCCTTATACTGTACATTGCTGCAAGTTCAAGTCAGGGAGGGAACCTGCAACACCGTCGTCTGTTTAAACAGATTTAAGAGATGAAGGGAAATTAACTCATTCATGGCATGCTTTTTAAATAGCATATTTTTAATCTTTGGGTTCGTGGGAAGGTATTGAGTGTTTTCAAGTCGAAAGTCATACATTCATTCATATAATCATACTTTTCATGTACGAAAAAATTACACTAAGAATATATAATACATAGCTTATTTCTATTCTTGTTGTTTTATTCATTTGTTAGTTAATTGAATTAGTATTAGGTCACATGTAACTTTCTTGCTTTTGTGCACCACCTCTTCAACTTTGAATCATCTCAGTCATATCCGCAATTAAATTAACCACCTAATAATCATCTAGACCTTCCCTCAGTATTCACCAAGAACTTTGGTGTGAAGGCTGTGATGAAAACCTCTGTCCTGCTGACCTGGGAAGTGCCAGAAACCTACAAATCTCAAGTGCCTCTTAAGGTAAGATCAGACAGCAGCAGTGAAACAGACAATACAGCTACAGCTGAAGTTACTCTAACAACTATAGTAAATTAACTTTCTTGCTGATAATCTAGGACCAAGTAGTCAATGTTTGCGAACATCAATGAATATGGCTAGGCAGTAGAGACCAAAGAACAAAGACTAGGGTCTGATTTTATATTCAAGGACCATCTCAATCTCTGCTTCTCAGACAATACAAGTGCTGCAGGAATGAGTCCTAAAATCCATAGCTGAGTTAGCATTTTGTCACTTCTGGTTCCCTGTCCTCAAAGTCAATCTTTTTTTTTTTAATGGTTTGTTGTTATATGTTACATATGTTTTTACTTCTGGTGATTACAATTATGCTTCAAAAATCATAAAGGCGGGCCTTATTTGTAAAGATTATCTTGCTGAAAAAAACGTGTAAGTAAAATCTTTCTTCACCACAGAGTTTATTTTTTGCAATTATCCAAATTCGAATGGATTTTTGTTGAAGGAACCAGTGCGATGCTAACTTCCAGGTTGGCCTACAACATTATGTCCTCCCTGCAGCACTCTGTATGGATCACTATCGATGGACAATGAAGAGTAACCATAGAAACTGTCCTATCACCAAAAAATACAAAAAGAGCACCTGAAATAGCACTGAATAGAAGGAAACACATCCATAGGTTGTGGTTTGATGGGTTGTTTGGTCGGTATAAAATATAAAATAAATGTTATTGTAGTGTAGGAACTGCATATGCAAACAGGAAGAGGAATTACTGACAACATAATGCAATGACTATAATAACTGAATTTTTTTAATATTTATATGTTATTTAAAGATGCACATTCACCAAAGTACACACATTATGAAACTTTTTGCTCTTTTTTTCCACCTTAACAGAACAGCTGCTCAATAAACCATCATGAACAATCAATTCACACCATATTAAATTCTGCTGTATTTTATGACTGGCTGTTTGTGAAGTCTACAATAAGTCACAGCACACATTTTGACTTGTTGTTGTAGGGAAAGTTCAGGTGTTACTAATAACATTAACTTTGCTTTTGTTCCATTGAAGTGTCCCAGTAAGCGATCACAGGGATCCAGCATGAACAATACTAGGCTTGTACAGTAACTGTATTTTATGACTGGCAGTATAGTAAAGATTAAGCAATCAGTCAAACGGTATCAGTGAAAAACTTGGTCCTGTCTTCAGATCCTGTACAACCAGCAGAGTGTGGAGGTCCCAGGCAACCTAAAGAGGAAGTTGATCACACAGCTGCAGCCAGATACTGATTATTCCTTTGTGCTAATGAGCCGAGGGAACAGTGCAGGTGGCCTTCAGCAGCAAGTTTCCATCCGAACAGCTCCAGACCTGCTGAAGATGAAACCAATTCAATACCAACACAATATGGAGGAGGGTGGTAAAGTGACCATCAGTCTTCCCAGGGCCCCTGCTGGAGCACCCATCAGGTTTGTGCTGTTTGTTTGTCTTTCTGGGGGGAAACCATACTGAAAAATAAGGCTGAGTCATGATTTCTGAGATGGCTCTAAAATGTCTCCTCTGCACATATTAGTTTGATTTTAACATCATGGAAAGAAATTGAGGCTGGCTTTGTGTGGAGACAAATAATAGTCATAGCAATTTGAATATGTGTGTGTAAAATTTAAGCACTACTGATTTCTCAGTACTGAAATGTAGGTACCACTGAATTTAATGTATTGCAATGTAATTGTATGTTATAATTATTAATAATTTTGAGTTGTTGCTTTTGTTTGTCTTATGGTGTATTATATTATCTTATTTTTTTAATATATTATAACACAGAAACATATCTGGCTCTTGAGCTAAATACTCCACCGTGTTCACCAGCTAATCACTAACTATGTCTGTCTGCTGTTTGGAGCAGTTAGTGTACAGCTGGTTAGTCTGTACTTTTTGTTTTTATTTAAAACAGCTGCCTACTTGGACTGGGAAGTTATGAGAGTGGTGAGACTGAAACAAAGCAGTAATGTTGAGGGCACAACAATAAGCTAAAAGACATTAAAAAGCTCTGTAGAGCTGATGGAAACTGAACAGTTATTGATAATTCTCTGTAGGTTTGTCTCTACAGGCGGCACCTTCTACATTACACGTAGTCATTTGATCCATTGTTAATATGAAAATATTGTTTAGTGCAGTTTTAAGCACAGTTAGCTTAATTATATGCCAATACTATATTTGAAAGCAAGAAGTTTGAAAGTCCAGTATATGACTCTGACAAACCCTTTGTAGTTGAGTAGTGTTTAGTATCAAAGTTCCAGTGTGTAACATTTAGGAGGATCTATTGGCAGAAATGGAATATAACATGCCTAACACAAGTACTGTGCCATTTAGAGGTACCTGTATGGAGCTATTATTGTAGCAAAACTACTTACAAATGTGTGTGGAGTGTTGTGTAACTGTATCTCAATCTGTGTGTGCATAATCATAACTGTGAATGTGTAAAATAATCTGTAAATATGTAGAGATTTGTGAATGTGTACAATAATCTGCAAACGTGTGTTTAGAATCCCTGTGTGCGTAATCAGATTTGTGTAATCAGATCAGTGCAGACTTAGACAAAAGACTAAGTATTTGTTCAAAAGCTGGAAATACAGACAAATCATCGGTTACAACTCAGGCGGGACTGAGATCTGTGTGTGTGTGTGTGGAGAGGTTTGTCTATGTGCCTCAGCAGCTATACAGTCTACAGATCAGCACTCAGCGGATCTCTACACGCATTTACAGATCTGCCACTGTAGAAGTGTAGCAAAAGTCACGCGTAAAATGACAGCCAATTAAGAGTCCCGCCTGAGTTTTAACCAATGATTTGTCTGTATTTACAGCTATTTGAGCCAAAACTTAGATTTGTCCACACGTGTACATATATCCTTACACTTGCAAATATGAATACAGATTTGTAGATCTTTTACAAATTTACAAATCTGATTACACACACACAGATTGAGATACAGTTAAACAATTTATAGATTAAACTACCCAACAGTATATAAAATACTAGTAGTAATGTTACACCCCAACTAGCTGCAACATTAAAATGCACCTTATATGTAATGCATTAATAATAATAATAATAATAATAATAATAATAATAATAATACAATAATATAACATTTTGATAACATAATGAGTTACTTTTGATACTTTATGTACATTTTGTTGATAACACTGAACTTTTACCCAGTTACTTTACTCAGAGAGAGGTTTTTCATACTGCACGTAGCCCAGGGCTGAAAGCATTCTTAGAACCTAGGCTAAGGGAGCTGTTAGCCCAAGGTTAAGGGAGCACTGGCACAATCCTTGCACATTCTAACCCCGACTCTAGCTAGGGTTTATCAGCCCTGCTCCGGAGCAGGGTTAGCCAAGAGTGTGCAGGGTTATCCCCTGATCATCAACTAAACACAGGTAAAAGGTGCCAGTGTGAAAAGGGGCTAAAGTAAACAGAATGTAAACATACATGTAAACATTAGTCGCATGTTCCAACTGACATTTAACCTGGGCCTAGTAGAAGTGCAGTGTGGATCATATTGCTCAGCAGCCCAGTGAAGTCGAGTGGAGACACACAAAGACACTGTTTTTTGTGTTAAATCAATAGCAGAGACACAGTTGTCTGCAGGGGAGGGGGCATTATAAGTCTGGTTTATTTACTTCTTGTCCTGTTCTAGCAAGTTCATAACCAACCAATTATCAACTGCAGCATAGAGTTCTTTTAGGTCAGAATACTTTCAAGAGCAAACAGAACATTCAGTCTCACAACCCAGCAATGCCATGATTACACTCTATAACAACACAGCCATATTAACATAACCCCACTGCCACTCCTGAGCTCTCTCCTGATACCAGAAAGCAATTTATTTAAGAGTTGAGCTTTAAAACCACAATTGATCAGCCAAGAGAATCCCAATGCAAAGGCTGCAATTTAGTAAAAGGTTATTTTTTATCATTATCCAGCGCGGTCAAGAATACAGGCCCCTGCAAATTACTCAGACTTAATTGTGTTTCAAGTGTTTGTTTCTCTGAAGAAATCACCCACGAGTAAGTTGTAATAAGAGAAGTGGGGCTGATGGAGAAAAAACTGAAATTTATACCATCTCCATATGAAGACCTTTCATCAGTCCCAGAGCCATACTTATGCGATTGGTGTTTAGGAACGGGGATGAGATGTGAAATGTAAGAAGTTTATAAGAAATATAAAGAAAAGATGACTTAAATGAAATATAATTCACATTAAAGCTCTGTGTTTTGTGTGTGATACTGTTGTGTTTCTGTGTTTGATACAGATGGTACTACATAGTGGTTGTCCCTGTCACCCCGGCTTCTCTGAGGAGATGGGAGAACCCTGAAGACATGGACATACATGAGGTAAGTGTACGTGTACTTGCATTAGTAAAGGGGAAAAAGTTTGCTCAGGAACTCAACTCTCATTTGGACAGCCCCTAAAGGTGGTCCCAAAAAGGTAAATCATTCCATTTCCAGATTAAGACTTGGTTTTCTGTAAAGCTCTAGGTTTGGGTTAAAAAGTTACTTTCATAATTCTGGGGGAGGCAAACCAAACTATTGTCGTTTTAATTAAGAAGTCTGGCAACAGTTGGCTTTTTTCCATTAGTGTGTGAGCAACTGTGATCTGATTTTATGCTGCACACGGCATGAGTCTGAACAGCAGGACACAGTGAAGGTGGAGGTGTGCAGCCTGTCAACTGCAGCTTCACTGTGACCACTCCTTCTTGTTCCATTAGTCTCCTAGTATTTAAAACTGAAACTCAAAATGGCTGCTCTATTCGCCATCCGTCAGTGGCGAGCTCATTGACAAACAAATCGCATACTACTACTGACTACTTCATAATGAAAGTCAACTAGTGTTTCGCCAAATGCTTTTATGTGGGCGGCTGTGGTGCAGCGGCAGAGCGGGTTGAGCTGGTAGAGAATGTGCATACGTCTTTTTCACAGCACACTTTTTGACTCGTCGTAGTAGGAAAAGTTCAGGGGTCTCATTTATAACCGTCCGTACGAGACTACTCCCGCCCAAAGTCACAATGTAGAAATCTATAAAAAACAAACAGTTGACGGGAGAACTGTGCGCAGCCCTTAAGCAAAACTTTGTGAACCCTATGCAGTACGCATTGGTGGTTGGTAGCGAAGAGGGAGAATTGGTGACACAGAGGGGCGCTCTCACCATAACATCAGACGCAACACTAAACAAAATGAAAACAACCAATTTACAAATCTACTAATAAAGTGTTCTTGGTCGCGCTGAACATAGAAAACAGAGGTCAAACTCGAAGAAATATACGCCCTGTCAAGAGTGGAGGTACGTATAAGACTGTACAGACAATGGTGAATGTCTATAAATCTGACTAAATCGTCAGCCGCTTACCTCAGGTCAGAAGTATATACTGGTGTCAAATACTCCGATACCTCCCCCCTAATCATGGGCGTATACCACATCATCTGATTAAATCAGGAATGATTTAAAAGTCAAACTGCGTGTATTATTCTCAGTTATTACTCCACAGAAACAATCTCAATTAGAATACGAAAAAAATGAAAATTCAAATCAATAAAACGGTGTC